GTACGACCTTCTTTATCAATAGTTACATGTACAGGTCGATCTCGATCTTCTGTTGGTATTGGAAGAAGATTTCCTAAAAATAAACAAAAGAAAAACATATATTTTTATTTAATATCATCAATATAATTTTACCTAATTGATTTGCAATTCGTCCTTTGAGTTCAGCTAAACGTTGTTGAGCAGAAGTTGGTGGTACCTTAAATTTAAAATTTATTAATAGATGGATAGATAATGAACGAAAAAAAGAAAAATGTTTTCTTCTTCTTTCAAACATTCATGGAGAATTTTGACTCTTGAATTTAAAAACTATACTGTATATCGTCTAGGATTAAGTACTACACACAACGATATGATAGCAAATGTATAGTGCTCATCGTTTAAATTTACGAGGGAAGGTCACCAACTGTTCCCTCGCTTTTGAGTCGGGACTATGTGCATCACGTAGACCGTAATGAGCTATGAATACCCTGAAAAGAGTTCGGGCTAATAGCTTATTGCTGATGAGATATTGTATTTTTTAATAGGAGGCTGTGGTCCCCCTCAGGAACACGAGGAAAATTGATTTTCGAATTTCGACTTGAAACTTTGCACAGAGATAGAACCTAATGGAAATAGTTTATTGTGAAAATTTCAAATCTTTTCGTTGTTCCTATCCAGAAATACGAACATCGAGTCTTCTCATGTGTATGAGCGATGTAAAAGGCACACTTTTAGCATAGCCGTATCTTACGGTAGGAACAACGAAAAGATCTGAAACTTTCACAATAAACTATTTCCATTAGGTCCTATCTCTGTGCAAACTTTCAAGTCGAAATTCGAAAATCAATTTTCCTCGTGTTCCTGAGGGGGACCACAGCCTTCTATTAAAAAATACAATATCTCATCAGCAATAAGCTATTAGCCCGAACTCTTTTCAGGGTATTCATCGCTCATTACGGACTACGTGATGCACATAGTCCCGACTTAAAAGCGAGGGAACAGTTGGTGGCCTTCTCTCGTTAGTACTGACAAATAAAGACAATTATTTTGTAGAGTAAGAAATTTTCTAATATTTTCAGAAGTGTCCTAAAAAGAAGAAAATATTTCAGTGTTCAGATTTCCAACAAAGAAAATTTCGAAATTTTCATAACTATTAAATATTTCTATTCAAAATTGCTAAACGTTTTCTAAAATTACGTCATTTCTGAAAGTAATTGGAATATTTCGAAAACTCTTTAAAATTTTTGATTTAGACTACTATGTTTATTATCGAGCTTATGAAAATTTTCTTTTTCGGAAATCTGAACATACCTTTATGAATTAACATGTTCTGTTGTTTATGCTAGATATTTGCCCATTTACCTATCGCAGAAAGAAATCTTTTTTTTTTTGTTTTCTTTATTTTATAAGTGTAAAATTTATATTGATAATTATTTTATATAGATAAAATAATATTTCTAATAATAAATATAAAATAAATTATTATACATACAGTAAAATTTAATTCTTGTTGTCGATCTTTTATTTGTTTTTGAGCAGCTAACATCATATTACGAACCTATAAAAATTAATAAAATATTTAATAAACAATTAATTAAATATCTATTTACTAACCGCATCAGGACCCATAGGTTCTTGTTTTGGTGTTACCAAATTTTTAGACATTAGTTTTATGTTAATGTGATGTGATAAAAATGTAAGAAAGAAAAGTGTATGTCTTCTTATTTTTGGATTTCTTAATTTACACACTAAATCAATGTAATTGATTAGCCAATCATAAGAAAAGTAAACCAGCGACATCTTTAAATTTATTTTTAGCGACATAAGTTGCACAGATGGTATTATGAGTAAGAGTTTGCTATTTTCTTTAAAAATATGATTTCATATCAAAGAATTATACTAGCAGTAGCGTCACAAATTTTAGACAAGATGATATCAAATCTTACGTTCTTAAAGTTCAAAATATAGTGAAGACTTTTTCGAAAACCCTTCGAGAAATTCCAAAAAGTCAATTATTTTAGCTTTATGATTAAATTTGTAGCTTGTTTTCATTATTTGATATTCGAAAAATACAATTGTTACTAATTAAGAGTACGAGCTTTGCTGCTTCACTAGAATAACACTAATATTGCTTTCAAAAAAAAAACTTTCTTTCAATTACTTCAACCTGCAATTTTGCAAGACAGTGCTTTCTTACGAATTTTTAGTGTGATTTTCAATAAACGACTGATAGAAATCCTCTGTCATTCATAAAAGTTTATCGAACGATATCACTTGATGAAATATAATAATTTCTTTGCAAAGTCTTTAAAAAATTTTCCACAAAGATAAGACAGAGAGAGTTTTTGAAATGTACTCAACCCATCTGTGGCACTGTGACTAGATTACGAAAATCTTTTTAAAAAAATGAAGTCTAAATTCTTTTTGAGATAGTAACTTTCATGGCTCATTGTTTTTTGTACTTCCAAATTTGAGACAATTCTTTTCACATTTAATATTTTGGCGTTCTAAGAGAAACATCTCTGGAGCTGTTCTCCAGCGTGACATAATTTCTGTGTAAAAGAAATATTGATCTGTCAAAACATAAGAAGTATTTGGAAGGGTTTATGAATCATGGATATGTCTATTCATTTTGAAAAGACTAACTCTACGAAAATAAGATTCATGACTAAATTAAGTTGATTTGTGAACAAAACTGTAGTGAAATAGCATTAACTTCTTCATCCAAATGAACTAACTTGACAAAGTTTAATTATTGTTTTTAACCAGCTCTGTTCTTGTCGATGTTGAAACTGACGATTTCTAACGGGTGCGGCAAAATAAATGGCCCTCTCAGTATTTTAATTATAACTTTTTTGCTTTTTGTTCTTTAGAGCTAATTGTTTTTCCAAAAGATACGCCGTTAAATTCTCTACAAAATCATAATCAAACTTATTTTTGTAGAAATTTATGGGAAAACCATTAAAAGGAGATAATATAGCACATAAAAATGACCCCACTTTCCAAGCTATTGGATGTTCCATAATGAATGGCTGATGTTTGTATCACTTTTTTTATTATTCAGCATGTTTATTTTAAAGACAAAGTATACCATAATATGCAGCTTGAAAAGCTCTACAAGTTACATTAAAAATCTTATTTTATATATGCATTCTTTGTTTATAAAATGGACAAAATTCTGTGCGCCCAATTTTTGACGCTCCAAACAAGATCATTTTTTGTTACACTACGAATTCGTTTTTTCTTAATTCATCTTTTTATCACTTAATAGGCTTCAATAAAAGAAAACAAAATATGCCACAAAATGCAGCGCGAAAAGCTCTACAATTTACAAAGAACAATTTATTTTGTATATGTACACCTTTTGTTTCTAAAATAAGCAAAATATTGTGCGACCAAAAAATGATCCTGTTTGCAGCATCGAAAATTGGTCGTACAGAATTTCGTCCATTTTGAAAACAAAGAATACATATATAAAATAAGATTTTAAATGTAACTTGTAGAGCTTTTCAAGCTGCATCTTATGGTATACTTTAGTTTCAAAATAGACATACTAGATGATAAAAAAAGAGACGCAAGCGCCAAAATACTGGCCATTCATTATGCAACATCAAATAGTTTGGAAAGTTAGATATTTTTTATGTGTTGAATAATTTTCGCTTAATTTTCTTTCTTCACTTTCTACAAAAATAAATTTGATTATGATTTTGTAGAGAATTTAACGGCGCATCTTTTGGAAAAACAATCAGCTCTAAAGGACAAAAAGAAAAAATGTTCTAGTTAAAATACTGAGAGGGCCATTTATTCTGCCGCACCCGTTATTAAGCGGACATAGATTGTATTAAAATATTTATAAATAATTTTGAAAACGTATTTGGTATGAAGTTCAATGATAAGTACCAAGTCTTTTGGGATGTTATGCTGAAGGATCCTCATGCTTCTTTTGGACTGTCTCTAGTTCTCGGGGTAGTTACAACTGATCAGGCTTATATTTTTAACACAGTAGCATTATCAATAATGATAGGACCTGTATTTGAGGAAAAATTTTAAAAGTAAATCTTCAGAGGTATTTCAAAGGATCTTTATAAACCATCGAGCTTGCCTGTGATTTCTTTCTTATGTTTTCTGATTAAGATTGAATCAGACATTTTCGTTTTTGACTTTTCTATCTGAACTTTTAGAACGATGAACGTCAGCACTTCGTTTTCGGATCCAAACTCTCATAAAAAAAAGAAATCTTAAAACCATTATTGACATATAAATCCTAACATATCTCCAAAACAAACTTTTCAGCCCTATCGAACAAATTTACATGGAAATGGTAAGCGGATCCGATGTAATTCTTATCGAAAACCTTGTTTAAATTTTTTTCCTCGAACACATGTCTTTTTATTTTAGATGCTTTATCTGCAGTATAAGTTTCATATACAGACAAAATATGCTTGTGAAACCTTTGCTTCATAACTATATTCAGATGTATTTGTACGTTGCCAGGAGATTTCAAATATAAATCATAATTTAAGGAGTATATATATTTAATAGACTAAACTTAGGTGGCTGTAAAGATCAATTTAAAAAAAAACACTATCATTCTATTAAATACAATTGAATATTCTGATCGATCCAACGTGATGATCATTTGAGCGACACTTTTCTGAAGATCAGTTTGAGTCTTCTGAGGTTTGTAATTATTAAACTACATACTATGTATCTTTGCTTGTAAAAGATAGATGTGTACCTTATCGAAATTTAAAATTGTTCTATTAGAAGAAAAAATCTGAATTACTCTTGTACAAATAAAATGTTTTAGTATGAATTCGATTTCTATTGATTTGTAATTTAGTGATGAGAAAACTTCATTGTTAAAAGATAACAACTGACAATTCATTCTATAGACAACTCATGTGTTTTTTTTCTTCTATTATAAAAGAGAACAATAGTAAAAATATTGTCTGTGATCATTTTACATTTTAGTAGTCTATAACCAAAATAATAGAATAAAAAGAAAAAAAACTTCAGATATGAGACGAATAAATCGTATAGAAGCCATGAATACTGATGTTGGTGACTTAACATGTGCCATAGTGACAACTACTACACAAATAGAAATTATACGACATATAAAAGTGACACCAACAGTAAGTAACACAATTGTACAATTGACAAGAAAATAAATGATTTTATCTGTTTTTTTCTTTATAGAATGAAGTAGTTTCTCGATTACATTCTACTCTTGATCGGTCACTTACTGATCATGTTAAATCTTCAACAAGACCTTGGACAACTATACATCGTGTTCGAACACCTATAACCCTTAAGTAAAGAGAATATATTTACTAAAATTCTTCAAAAAACAAGATCTGTGTTTAAGACGTTCACAGAAAACATTATGGTTAATTGGTTGCTTGTTTATCAATGTTGGAATATTCGCTCTTTCAATTGTAATTATTGGTTTAACAATTGCTTTTAGAGGTTAATATTCAATAATAATAAAAAAAAAAAATAATTCTCTAATTTATAGACATTAATACTATTAAAGAAATTGATATTGAAAGTACGTGAATTTCTCATAATTATGATGTTCACCTATTTATTTCATTAATAAGGATACGATCTGGGTGATTTATATTATGGTATAAATACTGTTGATCAGATGAATTTTTCTTCTAATACTTATTTATCCAATGATAATAAAATTTTAATTGAAAAATATGTTTGTAAAATAAGTTGATCATTTCATATGAATTTAATATATAATATTTTTAGTTTTCTAATCAATTACTTAAAGAATCTGGTTATCGTAATTTATTTATTGAAAGAATTTTTATTCAAGATCAATTCATTACAAATAAACAAAAACAACGGTATAATAATTTTAAAGACAAAAAATTGTCAACAATCATTTTCTTGACATAGATCATGTTCAATTATTTTAATTATTCAAAATATTCAAATCTATTTTGATCAATGTTTAAATTGTACAAATGAACGTAATATTATTCTACGTCGTTTATTTTTTAATATAACTACTTTTCGACAATCATTTTATTTATTATTAAATAATCTTCATATATCTGTACAAATTTGTTCATCATTAAATATATTTCGTTTTAGTAAAAAAAAAAATCATCATTATTTTTATTTCATCTTTGAATATGTTTTATTTTTATATTTAAAATAGTTGTACCGATACGACGATTAAATATTTCGAATGAACAAAAAATTAATTCAAGTTTAATAATAGATAATAATAATAATCTTAAATTTATTTCTTCAACAAGGAAAAATATTTTATCATCATTAAAAATAAATTCATCAATTGCTACAACAAAATCTATTTATATTAGTCCTATTCTGTCGACTATAATCGATACAACATCAACAATTCATATCATTGAAACTACTAATATCATAGATTATTTAGATAAATCGATAAGTTCTACAACAGATGATTTATTAACAACAACAGATTTTAATTCATTTCAAACACAAGAAATATCTTCAGTTTTTTTTAATGAAACTCAAACATCTAATTATATCGAAGAAACTACTCAATTATCGACATATATATCACAAGAAACAACTAATATTCAACAACAATCATCAATTAAATCAAATATTGCAACTAACATGTCTTTTGAAAAAACAACTCCAAATATGTTTCAATTTTTACCATTCAGACCACCTAAGACATATTTTCCATGGCAAAGTACTTTATCCAGTAGGTTTAATGACACGAAATTATTATAATTCATTGACTATACGAATCGAATAACGTCTTTTACATGATCAATTATGATAGACAAATATAAAATATCTAAAGTAAAAAAAAACGAAATGAAATGAACATTTGAAAGTTCGAGTTTATCTCTTTTCTATAATAAATTGATTAAATAAATGAATTTGATATTCTTAGAAATTTTTTTTTTCATTCAAGACTTGTTCAATGTTTTATTTAATTCAATTAATTTATCAAAAATTCACTTTGCATTGATGAATATAACAGTTCAACAATACTTTCAAAATTTAAATATTTTAAATTGAAATAAAATTATTAATTTCATTTTTACAACATTTCTAAGAAAAGTATCAAAAAAATTCAAAATACTTTTATCCTTGCCTAATAATTCTGAAGTTTGAACACATTTTCAAAAATGATAAATCATATTTTAATTGAAAAGAAAAATTTTCGAAACAATTACAAATTATTATTTAGTTGATGATCAAGGATCCAATATATTTATTTAATTTATACAATTGATATTTAATAAAAAAAAATTGTTTTTTTTTTGTTTTATGAAGAGCAATGATGAAAAACGAGAAGAACATTAACAAACAAATTAACTTGAATGATGAATATGTTTCATATCTATTTCTTTCGCAAGTGTGTGTAGGTGAGAATGAAGAGAACACGCCTACACTTTCACCTTCACTATACCTTACTAATTGCCTGATAATTTCATCTTCGTTTCAGTAATCAACTGTTTATGTTTATATTTTTTCACGCTCGCAATTTCAAATATCCGAGCTATTATAAAAAACATATATTTCGATACACTTTTCAATACGAGTAGCAAAAAAAAAAAAATCTTTCAAAAATTTTATGAATACTAACTTTTTAATATCATCTATATTAGATCACAGTATTAACTGTTAACTACGAGTAGAAGTTATTTAGTTTAATAACAACTTTACACGAATTTGAGTTTATGATTCGTTTGAATGAAGATATGATAGTTTTATAAACCGAAAAACAAAAAGATGAACTTTTCTTGCTTATTTCGGAATATTAATTATAGGAACATCTCGATCAGACGACTGTATCATGAATATTTTTCATTGTTCTGTTTCGAAGTTAATTATCGTGAGTCAACATGTTGATCTAGATATTGATGATGCTTTTTGATTGAATTGAAGTAAGAAAAGTTTAGAAAATTATTAAATAAATTCATTTTTTGCACTATGAAATCATCAAGTGTTCGTCCAGCAAGCTACATATTTATATCTTTTTAGATTTTTCGTAAATTTACTAGAAAAGTGTTCTAACTAAAACCTCACTTTCGAATCAAGACTATGTACCTTATACAGACCCAAATAAGCTATGAATATTCTGAAAAGAGCTTGTGTACTTAGTCTATAGCTGCGGAATTACTGCACTTTTATAGTATTGTTTAATCCTTCTGAGAAATAACAGAAAAACTGGTTTTTGAAATTCCGATTTGAAATCTTGCATAGAGACAAGGTTTAGTACGAACAGCTTTTTGTTAATGTTTCTGAGTTTATCACTGTTTCTATCCTAAAATACAACTGTAATAACAGTGTATATTTTGTATCATTCATATCAATCAGCAGATATCTGTTTCTATGCAAAGTTTGAAGTCGAATTTGGAAAATTATTTTTTCCGATGTTTCTAAGAAGGAATAAAATTAGCGTAAAAATAGAATATTTCCGTAGCACTAAGCTAAATATATGAATTCTTGTTAGAGAATATTCATAGATCATTTGATTTAACATTATACACATAATCTTGATTGAAATAAACGATTAATCAATTGAAGAACTTCTCTCATTAGTCATGTACTTTTTATTCTATGTGAAGTTCGATATCAAAATATATCATATCATCATAATGCATCCAATAAGATTTTTATTAAATATTATCTTCAACAATTAAATCAATTATAAACAATATCGAAATTTATGATGAATATAAATGATTATTGCTTACATGTAATATTTGTAAACACTTTATCATAAATTCTTTTCTTATTTTCAATATTAAAAAAAAAAAAATCAAATGATCATTATTTATCGCTCTTTGTTTCTCTCTCTCTCTTCATCAAATTAATGTACATATTTTGAATGGTGTGAATATGGAATAGGCAACTAATAATATATAAATTTAATTGTGCTCGAGGGGCTCCGACCATGACAAGTGATATGAGACAGTAGACAAAAAGAAAGAGTTGTGTTTAATTTCGCAGGAAATGAAGTGTTCAATTATAGACACACGTATTGACAAGTATTAAGGACAGTTTTCTTCTCATTATTGATCAATTAAATTATTCTAACATGATATTCACAACAGGAGAGAAAAGTCGATAAATATTAAATGACGTCAGTCAATCTTTTTTCTTTTATTTTTTTTTTTTTTTGCTTCTTCAATTGATGTCATTCAAATGTAACTACCCCGCAAGCTTTCTTTTTTTTTGATCATCATATTTCATTTCAACAAGCTTTTAATACACATCAATTGTAATTATATAGAAACAATTCACTATTTTTATTTAAGTTCTCGATTACAAGAAATTTGTTTACAAAATAATAATAATAAACTTTTTGCACTAATGCTAAATTGATATATTATAATGAAAAAGAAAGAAAAGAAACATGCAAGTGCTAAATTGAGTATAATAATAGATGAAAAGTAGAGAGAAAAAGAAAATGAACTACTTTTTCAATTATAATAATAATAAAAAAAAAAAAAAAGAACTTATAGGCTTTTTTTTTTGTGTTTTGCCTTGAAAAATTACTTAATTTAAAAAAATCGGAAAAAATCTAATTTTTTTATTTTTTGTCAAAAAAAGAAAAATGATAGAGATAAGAATAATTGATCTATCTGATTTAGTTCGAATGAAAGTGATTTTTAGTTTTTGTTTATAAGCATTTTGGAATATTCTTATTTAGTATATCAAAGAAAATTACTAATACAATTAAATATCAATATTGACTTTGTTTTATTTTGAAATATCATTAATTAAATATATTCTTATATCTTTTATTATCTTCTCTATATACTTTAAAAAAATGACTTATGAAACATCATAAATATATGTCGTAAACGAAATTATTTTATTAATAATTGAATTAAAAAATTTTATTAATTTAAACTTTAAATAATTTTTAACATAAAATTCATTTAATAATTTCTCATTCAATTTTCTTTTCAATGTTTTGAATGAAAGAATCAACAGCAGTGAAACGTTGCTCTTTAATACATATATTATTCAATATAGCCATCATTTTAGACAAATTAGAATGTCGTTAGCCAGACACCGAAACAAATACATACGGATGCTTGCAGCAATGAAGAAAAAAAAAGAAACCTCCAAGTAAGGTTTCTTCTCGTTTTCTCTTTGCTTACTTTTTTTTCATGTACAATATGCACGCGTGAAATGATTATATTGGTTTGTTGATTACAACCTACGGTCCGTCCTACTCTTTGCATGCGCCAATGGAATAGCTCGACGCACTCAATTTTTTTTTCTCTATTCTTCTTCCCCTCGACAGAAGAAAAAAAAAAAGGAAACAGAGAGACAGAGAGAAAGAAGGAGAAAGCGAATATAATTATCATCGTTACTACTTCTACTGACGAACATATAACGTTTTCTTTCTCGGTGTGCACTCACGATCAAATCATCTACTATATTTAATAATTGAATCAACGAGAAAAAACAACACCGAATATTTATTATAAATAATGCGAGGTTTTACAATAGCTTGTATACTTGAAAATAATTCATCAACAACAACAACAACGAATAATTTAAAACGAAAAATATCTGATTTAAATGAAGATAATGAACATCAATTACATAAACGACAAACAATTGAAGGTAAAGAAAAACAACATATTCATATATATATATATATAGTCAATATCCTATTCATTTCAACTATCTTTAATTATCTTCATTTCGTTCATGTTCTTGTCATTTTAATTGATCACTTCAACTTTTCTTCTATATTTTCTCTATATACACATACATAACCACTCGACACATACATAAGTAGTATGGGACTTAATCGATACAATTGAATTGGGAATCTATTCTTATTGTTCGGAGAAAAGAAAAGAGAGAATGTGTTGTTAATTTGTTCGTCAATTGCCTCATTAAACAATAGGAAGACGAAGGAAAGAGTATGAGATCAGAAAACGAAAAAAAAGAAAATCAATCAAAATATTTTAATATGTATCAAGACGTTTTTTTAATTTAGCACCGGAAATTTTATCACCATCATCGGTTGTACCACTTCCATCATCAATAAATAACAATGAAAATTGTAATAATAACAATAATAATAATAATAATAAATTATCAAGTAATGATGAAGAACGTGATTCATCAGGTGAACAACTTAGTTCAGATGATCGACCAAGAAAAGTACGACGTAGTCGAACAACATTTTCAACATATCAATTACATCAATTAGAACGTTCTTTTGAAAAAACACAATATCCCGACGTATTTACACGTGAAGAACTTGCAATGAGACTTGATTTAAGTGAAGCACGTGTACAAGTTTGGTAAGTTAAATAGAGAAACAATATTATTCTAAATATATCTTATTTGTACTTGATTAGAAGACATTTCTTTTTTTTTTTCTATTCTCTGGATAATAAAGCGATTAAAACTTGTTGAATAGATAATTAATGAAATATGAGTATAGAAAATTTTATCTTAAATACATATATATAAATAATTAAATTCGAATGTTTGTTGGATCAAATGAATAAAAAATAATTAGTATTAATCAATTCTTATTGAAAAAGTTCATTGAGTTGTTCTACTTTTCTTTTTTTTTTTATTCTTCTTCTTTCATTCAAAAAGGTTTCAAAATCGTCGTGCTAAATGGCGTAAACGTGAAAAAGCACTTGGTCGTGAAAGTCCAAGTTTTATAGCACCACATGATATTGAATCATTTCGTCATCAAATGTCAACATATTTATCTAATGCTTTAACAGCAACTGTTACTGCAAACAATACTAATAATGATCGTCCATCACAAATCGTACCACCACCACCACCGCCACCACCACCACCAGCACATTATCTTCCATTTTTAATGGGACATATTGATGAAAATCTTTTAACACGATTACCTTCAAATCAACATCCACATCATATAAATTTACTTTATCATAATAATCAAGTTATATCATCATCAACTTTAAATCTTTCATCTGTATCTCCATCATCAAATTCTTCATCATCTGAATCTTATTTAACAAATCAATTCGATAGATTTGATCATCATCGACGTGTTAAATTAGAAATTCAAGATACAACTGCTTAATAAAATAATACAAAAAAAAAATAATAATAATAATAAATTCTTTCTTCTCTTTTTTGCTTCTTCTTTTACAGTGTTTGTACAGTTTTTTTTTTTGTTTTGTTTTTGTGTGTGCGTGTGTGTCTTATTTTTAAATATGACAAAATGAATTTGACTAGTGTATGAATACAACAAAATCATTCTTTTAGAACGAAAACTTATAATTTACTAACATAAATCGGATTGTTTTACGATTGGTTGAATCTTCTGAACATGAGCATATAGGCATGAAAAATTTCTCCCTTATGGCAAATAAATCGATTGGTTCTTTCTCAAAAAGAAAGAAAAAAAGAAATTAAATTCATTAGAATATTTCGTGACTTGTTCTCTTATACTTATGTTTATGATGATAACATGGAAAATTAGATGATAGATCAACGGAAATGTAAAAAAAAAAGAAAACTAAAGTAGTAATTTAAAGAGAAATCACGGAAATGCATCATCAAAAAGAACGAGCAAATGTATGTATGCATTGCTAAACTAGATTCTTTCCTTCTTCTTTTTTTTTTATTTTTTAAGAAAAGAATCGTTTGCATGTTCGATAACATATAAATACAAAGAAAGAATGAGTCTCGATCTAATCAAATAATCCTGACTAATCTGTTGCTGTGAAAAGACCTAATCGTTTTTCTGCTTCATTTACATCTTATTGATAGAAGAAAAAGAAAAATGTAACTATATGTTTGTATGCCAAGGATTTTTATCCTCATCAATCCCACCTGTCGTGTTACTGAATGAATAGAGCTACTTCAGTTAATTGTGAACGATTCGTATATATATATATATACGTATGTTCTCATTCTCATATACAAGTGGCTCGATGGATTGAAGAGTGTAACACGTATAATTGTTCTATAGTTACATATTCTTGTTTCTATGTTCGCATATACTTAGATTGATAATACTCATAATTAGATTCGAAGTTGTTATAAATATTTGTTGAGTTTCTTTTTCTTTCTTTAACCACTCTATTTTAACAAATAATAGAAAAAGAAAGAAAAGAAGCATGATGATGATGATGATGATGTCGTCGGTAACATGCGAAGACTATTAGAAGCAAATAATTATAGTATATATGTGCCTTCTATATCTTTAATAACATGCTTGTTTATAAATAATTCACAAGAAACAACAGTAATGTGGACATTCAAGATGACGATAATATTGTCGAATGAAGAAGTAATTTGAAGCTTGATTACATTTGATGATGACGACAGCCATAGTAGCAAGTGCCTGATGCCGATGAATTGCTCATATCCGGTTTGCCTTTTATTCTTTAATCATCTCCATCTGCATCTTTTTTTTTATCATCATCATCATATTGATGACAATAAAACATAAGAAAAAAAAGAAGAAGAAAGTGGATGAACGCCATCCTCAGTCGTCTATTTGTTCAATTGCTGATTTCAATTGCAATATCCTGTTGTGTGTGCATATCACACGATAGTCATTTGCACACTCTCCACATCTCTAATTTTCTTTTATTTCCTTTTTGACTGTTCATTTTGCTTATCGAGGTGAACATCCTCATTTATGTATATTCTAATCTAACAACATATTCAATGCTTTATTTTTCTTTTGTTCTTTATAAATTATACTGAAATTAAGAGTTCATCTATATATATATAATTTTGTTTTATTAGTACTATATATACATAATCAAGTTAAAGAAAATATCGAGCAAAAGCAAGTGAAATATTAATAATAAGAAGACATGTACCAAAAATTAAACTAAAATTAAGTCTATTATGACGTCGTTGATATAAACTTGGTGAAAGATATTCAATTAAAGCTAATAGAATATATTGACCATCTAATGCATAACATGGTACTGCATTAAAAAATGCAAGTGCAAATGAAAATGCAGCAACATACCTCGAAGAAAATAGATTAGTCAAATGAAAAACTAATTTAGTAAATGTAAAAAAAAATGAGTAACTTACTGGAAAAATAATGGAATATCAGTAATGAGTATTGTTGAAATAAATTTATATTTAGCTTGATAAGATTGAATATTAACTAAAATATAAATAAAAATTTGTATATTAAATCATTCATTTTCACACCAAAAGAAAAAAAACACGCACACACATATATATATATGTAAATTAATAATATTAGAAAATTTCATAGTAAAACTTCGGAATCAAATATTAAAAGAATTATCTTGTAGAAATTTATTAATAATTTATTGATTATGAAAAGTAATTAATTTTTATCTTATGAGAAAAATACCCACAGGTGTCAAACTGCTTTTTTTGATCAAGACTACATTCAAGTGAGAGGCCATAATAAATAATATAAAAACTTAAAAGGGTTCGGTAGTTGTGTAAGCTTTTGTTTTTAAAAAATTTGAGAAATTTGCAAAAAGTTTCACTAATTTTTGGATCTTTCTATTTTCACATATGAAATATTACTTATCAAAATTTTTCGTTACAGTCTTCAATTATTCATAGATACCTTATGGAACACAATAAAAGATATTTCTTGATTCTGTAGACAAAATTGACAAAAAAAAAATTTATGTGTATAAGCTTTGTTTTTTTTAATTAAATTACAAAATTATGAAATAATTCTTGCAATGTTCTACAAAGTGAAAAATGATAATGGACGGCTCTAATCAAAATATTGAGAATTTAGTCTTTTATTGAATGTTTCCAGGAAAAATGTTTTCCAAAAAACTAGTTTTTCGTAGATAACTTACTCAAAATAGAAGATTGAAAAATTAGTGAAACTTTTTCAATGCAACTGTGTAAAGTTTTAATTCGAAATTTCGATTTTCATGGTAGCTGAATCCTCTTAGACTTTAATATTATTCACTATGATTTCTCATCTGAATATAGTCTTGATCCAAAATGTAATCGAATATTTAACGATGTTAGTTCGTTTGTTTTATACAATTATTAGTCATCTTCATTCTATTAAATATTAGAAAAAGAAATATATGATGAAACTTATATGAATTCTTTTCATTCAAGCATCTTCTTTTTTTTTTTCTTCTTCTAAACCAGACAGAAACCATTTTAATAGATTATATTTATAAGAATCACTTAGTTTTTGTTTTTCTATATTAAACTTCAAAAATTAGAATTTTTTTTTTTTCGTACTTGTTTGGTAAATTTCATTAATTGAACCAACAAAAAGAATTGGTGGTCCTTGATTATGTACGATTCGTATTAAACGTGTAATATTATCAATTGAAAATGGATGAACACATGAAGCATCATTCCCTTGACGTTGACAATCACTATTTAATAAACAAGGTGGATGGTTAGTTACGCTACGAGCTTCCATACATGCACCATTCTATATAATTATGTTTATAAAATTATAAAGAATAATAATAATAATTATTATATTTACTTGATGAATATGTTGTTTAGAATGATAGAGAAAACAATAATTTTTTTGAAATAAATTTTGACAACAATCATAATTACTTGTTTGATTAAATTCTAAATATAAACAGAAATTAGATAAAATTTAGAATAAAGCTGAAAGTAAAGAATATAACGAATCGTTCATAAAGAATGGAACATTTTTATTTCTTTTAACCAATTTACACATAGTTGAGAGATTTTTCTTTTTTTAATATTTCACATAAGTTCTTATTGTTGATGAAAAATTATTCAATCATCCAACTGGAAGAGTTCAAAAACGCAGCATATTTCCATTGTCCAAAAAAAAAACAAATTTCTAAAATTACCAACTAATACGAAGATAATTTTTAGCAAGCTTTATTAATTACTAATAGTTAAGAAGAAAAGAAATACGTCATATAAAGGTCGAAACACCTCAAAGATTCTGAACTTTATTTTATTACCCTGAGAATCTACATTGAAGTCTGATTATTTTTCACAAGTTTATTTTGTCAAGACTTTATCGTTCAACAGCGCTAAGGATCTCTATTACAATCAAAGATATTCATCGTGGCTGAAAATCTGCTGATGTAGTAATGATTTTTTTTCGAGAATCTCGTTGAAAATCTCTTCCTTCACTCTGCTAAATTAATATAGTTCGACTGAAATTATCATGATTCTGACTGTGTTGGACTTATAAGCACTCTAATTAGTTGCACGTTCACGCAGTTTCACAAGTTCTCTCAAAAAAAAACTACCACTGACATTGTCATGAACGCTTCTAATAGAAATATAAAAGAACGTCTTGTATATTCGAATTTTTTCCTATTACTAAATGCCAAATACTGTTTCAATATGTTCATATTATTAGTAATAATGACTTTTTCGATTTTATTAAGTTTTAGTTTCTACAAGTATATCAACAAGATTTATTTTTACCAAATATTTAATTCAATGTGCTGCTCTTTCTGATCTTTTTTTGCGTATATTTAACGATTCTCGAGCAAAAGAAACACCATTTGAATTCAAATAAATGTCATTTACTGAAAGGCTGACGAGGGAACATTTCCAACTGTCACGTTGCTTTTGAGTCGAGCGTATGCGTATCATGTAAGCTCTAATGATCTATGAATACTTTGAAAAAAGTTCGTGCTGTTTTTTTATTACTACCGAGATATTGCATTTTTACTGTATGTTTAAGCAGAAAGTCATGATCCCCCTCGGGAACACTAGGAAAATTGAGTTTCGAATTTCAACTTGAAACTTTGCATAGAGGTAGACCTCAATGAGAATAGTTTATTGGGAAAGTTTCAGGTCTTTTGATTGCTCCTAGTCTGAAATAAGAATATCGGAATCTGCTGGTGTATATCAACGATTTTACCATAGCTGTATCTTAGAATAGGAACAACGAAAAGATCTGAAACTTTCACAATAAACTATTCTCATTGAGGCCTATCTCTATGCAAAGTTTCCAATTGAAATTCGAAACTCAGCTTTCTTAGTGTTCCTGAAGGGATCACGGCTTTTTATCTTAAACATATAGTAAAAATGCAATATCTCGGTAGTAATAAGCTAGCAGCACGAAATTTTTTCAGAATATTCATAGATCATTCGAGCCGACATGATGCGCATACGCTCGACTCAAAAGCACTGTGACAGTTGGGAATGTTTCCTCGTGAGTTATTCCTTTTCTTTCTTCTAACGACCATTACAAAATACTTTTTCTTGTTTCATGGTCCTGTGTAAAATCTTCTATGAACACAATAAATAAGATAGTACATTGATTAATGAATATATTCTGATACACAGCTAAGAAAAGACTTGTATTCTATAATATATATTAAAATTTGGTTTCGATATTAAATGAGAATAGATTTTATACCAATATGATTTGAAAGAAGTTGAATTTTAGTTTGTGTTAAACAATAACCACTACTTTGTTCGGGATGTCGATCTCTAATTAAACGTAAACATTGATACCAATCATTTGATGTATTTACATTACATCCATCAATATATTGAATTGTTGAATGAATAGGAAGAAGATTATAAATAGGTGAATCCTAAAACATAACAATAAAATTATTAAAATCCATTAATATTTAATTTTACTTTTGATACACGATAAACTGTTGCTGCTTCAATATATAAATGTTGAATAATAAATGGATTAATAAGAAGAAATATTAAAGCAATAAGAACAAGAACCATATTATGAAAAACACCAGCACAATAAATTCTTTTCAAAAAAAAGAAAAATATGCAATATTTATTTATTTATATGAATAAAAAGAAAAACAATTATTCATTTACCTTAATTGTCTATAAGCTGTAATCATTTGTATTTGTTCATGATTTAAATCAACATAAGCACCAGGATAAATAATACATAAAAAATATCCACAACCATTTACACGAACTTGTTCACTATTAAAAAAGAAAATATTTTAATCGAAATAAAAATTTCTTACGCTGAAGCTGCTATAGCATGTCCAAATTCATGAAAAACAGTACATAAAAGTAAAGCAAGAAAAAAATGTCCCAATTGTTCTATTGGTACATTAACACCAGGAATCTAAACTAACCATTATATATATATATATATATTTTATTAAAAATCAAATTAAATATTCTACAAACTATAGGTTGAATCGATAATTGATTACGTTCATTTTCCATTACAATATTTTTACTAGTTAAATTTTGTGTCATCAATGAAATTGTTTGTTGTAATTCATAGATATATTTTAAAGGTAAAAAAATTAATACAAGACAAGCACAAATAGCTGTAATAAATGCAATAAATATTCCTATAGTAAACCAAATTTTCCAAAGACGTGGATTTTTTCTACCAATACGAGAGAAAAAATGATTGAAAAATTTTGTATAAAAATTAATAGTAAATATTGATACATGACAACCTAATGAATGAAGTAAATTAGCATATCGACGTTTTGTAATTTGAAAACGCTATAGAAATAAAATAAACAATTAAAATTTGAAAAAAATTAAATAATAAAAACCTAACTGATAATAAATAATTGATTACATAGATCATAAACCAAAAAATAAAAACTTGTAAAACAAAATGAATAAACATTATTGATTTTGAACTCAATTGTAATCTTAGATAATTATAAACCTAAAATAGTAATTTTATTAGATCAAAAAAAGAAATGTTCTTGATCTCTATAATAAAAAAGTGATTAGAGAAATGTTGTGTTAGATGAAACAAAAATATATTGTAAACATAGTTAGATTACTAGAAGTCAGTAGATTGTTCTTGAATTTGGATCTAAAATTTTTGAACTTGACAAATTCTATTTATCAGTCGCAACTGGAATTTCAATTCATATTCATGTAGAGACAAATGACAGTATTTGAACAATCTTTATCTTTTTACTCACTGTAATATTTTTGGACTACAGAAAGTAAATGAATAATGATTGGCTATAGCTGTAAAAGTTAGACTAGGATGACTAGATTTCTTGTGAATTTCTCAAAGCTTTCTTTCATACTGTTACTGTATCCTGTGCTCATCTTACAATGGAGGTGTTTGTACTGTAAGTTGAATTTACCAGATATGTTTGCACCAATAGAAAGTACTCACCGCCAAACTAACAAGGTTAAAATATTAGCGGCTGTTGGCTTGCCTAGAGGGAGATATTTAGATTTTAAATTTAGGTATAAAAATGAATCAGGAAAGATTTTCTCCACTATTATAAGGACAAAACATAGTGTTGTTCGGGGCGATTGTGGGGTTTGTTGGGTCCCTCTTTCATATGGCCCGAACAACACTATGTTCTGTCCTTGTAATATTAGGGTGAATTTTTCTTGTAGCTCATGGAAACAGCTTTTCTTATCAACCACTAGAAAAATTCACTCCACTATTATAAGGACAAACATAGTGTTGTTCGGGGCGATTATGGGGTTTGTAGGGTCTCTCTTTCATATGGCTCGAGCAACACTGTATTTTGTCCTTATAATAGCGGAGTGAATTTTTCTAGTAGTTGATAAGAAAAGCTGTTTCCATGGGCTACAGGAAAAATTCACCCTAATATTACAAGGACAGAACACAGTGTTGTTCGGGCCATATGAAAGAGGGACCCTACAAAGCCCATAATCGCCCCGAACAACACTATGTTTTGTCCTTATAATAGTGGAGAAAATCTTTCCTGATTCATTTTTATACCTAAATTTACAATCTAAATATCCTCCTCTAGGCAAGCCAACAGTCGCTAATATTTTAACCTTGTTAGTTTGGCAGTGAGGGCTTTCTATTGGTGCAAAAATATCTGGTAAATTCAACTTACAGTACAAACACCTCCATTGTTAGATAGAAAACAAATCTTGGTTCTTCCGAATAGTGCCCATTAGAATCATACTACGTGTAAGAACTCGATAACTCGAACAAGAGATAAATTATATATGGATTATAGATTTTTCTTTCTTAAGATTTAATGCACTCTGAAAACTTTTATTAAACCACTTCCTGAAATAGGTGACCTCTTTGATTAGTTTGAATACTGATCAGAATGTGGAAGAAGTATGTGAGTCTGTATTTAATTAATTATCCCTTAATAATATTCTGCCCACAAGTGATCTAAAGTTCATGTCCGAACAGCAGTGGATGAAACAAAATATGAAAATTAAATGAATCACTACATAAATGATAGGACGGTTGTGCCACGGAAATCGAATCGATAGTTTAGTAAAATCACATAGGATATAGAACCAACAAGAGAGAGAAATTAAACAAACGAGAAAAAGACACATTGATAAGGAAAGAAAAGAATAAAGGATAAAAAATAATGATAGTCTTGCTATTCGTATTTTTGCACACTTCCGTTAGCTTTACTTGCTCATATTCGTCTTACACATTATTACTCGTTCTCAATAGTCTTGCTGACTTTCGTTCACGCTCGCATTAGATCATTGTGTCTTGTTTCTGTTCCTCTCATTTCTTTTTCTGTACGAATCTACCTTACTCTCCTATTTTCATTTTTAGTCTTCTCGTTTTATTACTGTCTCTGCGGTGCAATTGAATGCTCAACTGTCCCGTTAGAATCGATATGATCATGCGATAAAGTTTAGCAAATAGAAAAAGAAGACGCCTCGATGTAAAAGACATATTAGAATTCCCAAGACTTCTATTGTGGTCAGACAATATCAGTTTTTCCAGTAAAGCTTCGCAAATACTATTAAATTAGTCTTGGTCAGATGCCATCAACATATAAAAATGTTTCTTCAGATGTTATATACTCATGATTAAGAATAATTTTAATTCTTATAAAATAACGAATTCATATTTCTTCTGTTCGTAATATCCAACTAGAAAAAATTCACCATTGTTGATATTCTCTCAACACTTATACTTATCATTATCTACATTTATAGTTTCTACCGTGAAATGAACCTTAATATAATCATTTGTTATTGAATGTTTATTAAATATTTCTAATAGTTCGATAACAATTTAATTTTACATTAAAAAATCTCTTACCTCTAATAAATATTCAAGATAATAATTTCATAAATGTTGAGTTCATAGAAACTTCTATATGACTATTAAAATAAACTATGACTCAACTGAATGATTCATTTTACTTACTGATATACTCAGCATATATATATTAAAGATTGTTGTGTAATTTTCTTTTTTGTGTGTGTCGTACTCGAAAAGAACTTCTGATAAAAGCACTTCTGTTGTTGTTATAGTTTTGATTAATTAATTACAAATATATCTTTTTTTAAATAATTGATTATAATTCATTTATCCGTTCTGAAGAAATGAGTAATAAATTACATAATAATAAGAAATATATTTATGAAAATGAGATAAAAACAAATATTATATTGTAAAAAATAGATATATATATATATATAATAGAGACAACCGGGTATCATATTCAAAAAAAAAACACTCTATTGCCACAAAAAAAAGAATCAGAGACAGAAAGCGACAAAAAAAAAAAAACATAAGCAAGATGAATAATTTTCATTGTTGTGTAGAAGTATAATGATGATATTTATTATAATTTGATGATGGATTTGTAATACTTGATTGTTCGGATTTTTTCAATGATGATGGTGATTGTGGTGAAGGTGAACGACGAGTAAAATATGCTTCATCATCATTTAACGTCGGTGTTGATGATGCAACAATACCTTTAACAAGTGGTATTGATGGTGTTGATGTATAAACAGATATATACAATGGAGCAGTACGTACAACAGCAGGTGAATATTGTTTAAGTGAAGTAGTTGATGATGATGAATTTGATTGTATATCAGGATTATTTATTGTTTGTGATGAAAATACTTCATCACCAGTATATAAAATATTACTGTTCGAACGTTGTTGAGATGACAATAGGTTTTTATCATTAAATACTGTTAAAGGTGATGGATTAAAACCACCTGAAGAATTTAATATTTTTGATTGATCATTAGTTGAAGATTGAAGAAGCTGAAATTATTAATTATGATAATATTTTGAATAAATTTTAGAATATAAATAGGATTGAGTTTATATTGTCCTCTTGAAGTATTAGGTTTAATCAGATATAAGAAAAGTTTAAGTGGAATCTACTGAAACTATCACTGAATGACGTAAATGAATTACAAAATAATTCACTTTCTATTAGTTTCTACCAGGGTCTAGGGTCTACCAGGGTCTACCAGGGTCTACCAGGGTCTAGGGTCTACCAGGGTTTACCAGGGTCTACTAGAGTCTCGATGTGGGTGCTGCGAAACAACATACATCACATCTCTCTCGTTGTGGGTGCCGCGAAACGACTTACATCACGTCTCTCTCGATGTGGGTACCGCGAAACCCTGATAGACCCTAGACCCTGGTAGACCCTAGACCCTGGTAGACCCTAGACCCTGGCAGACTCTAGACCCTGGTAGACCCTAGACCCTGGTAGACCCTGGTAGACCCTGGTAGAAACTAATAGAAAGTGAATTATTTTGTAACTCAGTGTTTTTGAATTATTTTGTAATTCATTTACGTCATGGTCTCATTTTTCTTGTCTTACTGAAACTTTCCTATAACTTCAAATCAGATACTATCTAATGATGAAGTTTTGTCTCAATAACATTTTTTTTTAAATATTTTCTTACATCTTGTGATTGATTATTCATAAGATTTTGACTATTAATAAACATTCGTTGATAAGGTAATTCATTTGATGAATCAGAATCTGAAAGTCTTGGTGCTGCATTTACATAAGCATTATCTTGATCATCATCATATGATACGGGATATTGTATTGGTGAACTACTTGTTCGATGATATCCTTTATTTGATGATGAATTTATTTGACCAACAAAACGATTTGATGGACATACAACTGAACTATTATGTGTATCAGATAAAATTGAAGCTGATGATGATGAACGTGCAAGACGAGCAACCGATGATAAATCAGCTCGTTTATCATTCTATAAAAAAAAATTGAAAAAAAAATATAAATCAATAATTTATTATTAATTTTTACTTTATCTCTTGATGGTTCTATATCAGACATACTATTATGATGTGATGCTGATTTATGCCATGATATAACTGATTCTTTATCTGAATCATTTTCACTATCAATAATTGAACCTGTATGACCAATTTGTTGTTGTTGTTGTTTATTAGTTGATGTACCAATAATTGGTGTTAATGCTGGTGATCCTTCACGTGAATCAACAAAACCTTTATGAAAACCACCAATTTTTGAATCATCCATATTAAAATTAATAGCTGCTAAACCCATTTTATTCATCCATTTAGCCATTTCATCACGTGTTGAACAATAAAAATATTCACGACATTTATTAGTTTCATCAGCAATACGAAAACCACTAAATAAAACAAATGATGAAGATATTTTTTTTGGTTCTTTCAAAATTTATTTGATATACTATTTTCTTCGTTCTGGTGCTGGTGAAACATTTTTTCCTTCAAGTTTTATTTCAACTTCTTGATTTTTATCCTAGACAAAAAAAACAAAAATATTTTTTTGATATTCATTATTCATATTAACTTACATCTTTTGATTTAAATACATATAAAGTACCACCTTTTAAAACACACCAATAAAGTCGCCA